GGCCCGGGGGCGGGGGGCGTTTGAGACCCTTAGCCACTTCCACTGGGAACATCGGCAGCAAAGGGAGCTGCTCCTTCCCCTGGAGCCTGCTGGTATGTTTAATCCTCGAGGGAGCGTTCTTGCTGCCCCGCTGAAGACTGTCTCTGGGGACTTCGCAGGGACCAGCCCTGCCAGCACCCTCCCCACTCCTCTGAGATCCACAGCCAGAAGTTCATCTGTGTCAGGATGCAGCCCCTTCCTCCCCCCACAGCAGGGACCACCGTGCCCATGGGAATGGTGCTGTCAGCCAAGCGCTACGTGGATCCTGCCTCCTTGCCCTTGTCTGCCTTGTTCCAAGGTTGCTGGGGAGCACAGCCGCCGTGCTGGGCAGCCCTACCCTCTTCCCCTCCTCACTCACCCTTGTACACGATGAGCCGATAGGTACCCGTGCACTCCTTGGAGCCCCTCAGGATCTCCTCCAATGTCCTGCAGAAAAGCTTGGCTTGCTCCAGGCGGTCCTCCCGGCTGAAGGCAGCACACTCATCCTGGGACATGGCATAGAGGGTCTGCAGCGGGGTGGCATACTCCACTGCGCAGTGCCAGAGCTGCAGGGACGGAGGAGAAAGACATGGGGAGAGGAGGACCAGGTGCCTGGCAAAGGGCTGCCGGGACACTGGTGCTGGGCAGTGCCCTCGAGACCCCTCGGCAGCCCTGCAGCCTGCCCTGCACTGGTGCTGTGTGCTGGACCCAGTGTCCCCCTGCCCTGTGTTGAGCAGGGAAAGGGCAACCGGCCTGGCAGGGGGGCAGGTAGGGCCATGCCCCATGCGCCAGGTGGGGTCAGGAACCTGCCTCCCTCCCTTGGGGCTGCAGGGTGCAGGTGCCGGCTTTGGCAGCACTCCCAAGCCGCAGCCTGTGGAGTGATTTACCCCATGGAGTTTGGTCCTCCGTGGAGGCCCTTGCCCGCGTCTGATCACACCTTCTCAGTGGCTTTTCTGCTAGAGGGGAATCTGAGCATCCTGATGGAGAACAGGAGAATGGAGACAAGGATAAATGCTGGCACAGCTAGAAGGAAGCTGATCAGACAAATGAGGAGGGATTTCTTGAGGCCATAAAAATTCCAAGGAGGAATGGGGTTACCCTTAGTCTTATACTGGGCAAACTGGAAATATTATTACAGTGTGTGAGAAGGAAGAGGGGTGGGATCCCTGGGTAAATGCAGAGCAGCTGGAAGAGCTCCCAGCCTTGGAGGGCAGTCACCACAGTGACCTGGTGCAGGTGCCAAGGAAGGGAGCTGGCATCGCATCCATGCCTGTGTTCACCAGCCACTGGGCAGCAAGCTGAGGGACAGATTTTACTGGCAACACGCAGCGGGTCAGGACAGGTCCAGGCTGCAGAGATGCTGGAGCTCATGGTGCCGAGTAACTCTGCAGGAGACCGGCAGATGAAACACAGCATCCGTGCCTGTATTGTAGCAGGAAAAACCCGACACTGACTGCACTTCCCCAGGAGCAGGGCCAGGAAAGAGGAGGCTCTGGTGTCCCTGCAGGCAGGGCTTTAAAATCAGCAGCTCAGTGCTCAGACACCATCAAAGGGCAAATTAGGGAGACCCAGGTGAGAAGCATTGCTCTGCCGATGCCTTCATCCACGGCCGTGTCAGCAGGACGTGTGTATTCCCTCCTCCAAGGGTGCAGGGGCACAGGCCCATCTGCCTGGAGATGTGGAAGGAGATGAACGCAATGTGAGATGGAGGGATTTAGGAGTCATCAGCCTGGAAAAGAGGTGACTGGGGGAAAGAGACAAATTATATAATGACTCACACAGACATTTTCAAACACCTCTTCACAATAAAAGGAAATACTCATTCGTTCCATGGGAAGTGATGCTCTGAACCCCACATCTGCTTTGTTCTGCTCAGTTTTCTGCTGTTTTCTGGACTTAAATCAAGTCCAGAAGGGGTTAAGTGAGCCCAACATCCCTGCAAGGGCTGAGCCTGGGAGGAGGCAGCCAGGAGGAAGGGATGCAGATGGCTGGCACAGACAGGACCTCTCCATCTCACAAAAGCCTGCTGAAAGCTGGGGGTATCTAATAGGAGACGGGACACTGTTCTGCTCTTACAGCCACTTCTGGGCCGGGATCTGAGGCCAGGAAGACCTTTGGGCTGATGCATGCCGTCCGCTCTCCTGATGCTGCACTCAGCATACCTTGTCTTCATCCCTGATTGCGTAGAGGCTGTGTTTGTAGACCCTTTTTTTGGTGCCAGCTCGGGTCAGGGTGGTTTCAGGGAGGTCTGCCAGGTACTGGATATTGCTGTCAGCTTTCTCCAGGTCATCATAGATGTCACAGCTCAGGGGGACTAAGATGTGGAGCTTCCAGATCTCCCTGCACGCCAGCATGTTGGGGTTGGCTCTGCTGAATTCCTCCAGGGACTTTTTCACTCCTAGGAGAAGAGGGCATCAGGCAGAGGTGCCTGGTGTGAGTACAAGTGCTTTCTACCTTGCTCCCCATTTCCCTGTTAACACTGTAAAAGTGGAAGGATTGTTATTGGGAGCTATTTCTATCCTTAGCATGCAGGGAAGCAGCTACGTACGTGGTAGGACTATTTTTAGGTACCCAACGTAATAAGACCAGGCAAGCCCATGAGCGACATTCTGCTTGGACCTCTCAGACATCTCAGACGTTTCTACTGCTGAGGGCTTCTGTGGAGGGAAAGAAAGACAGACCTGCGGTGAGGAAGGCAGCCACTCAGGCTCTTCTGCAACAGTTGATTCTCTACAAGGACTGGGGAGCATCCACCCACTCCAAAGAGGTCTGGAGAGTGAGTAACCCTGCTGCCCCATTCCACCACCACCTTGGGCAGCGGGGCCAAGGGTCCTCTGGCCCACACAGCCCCTGAAGATGAGGAGGCTGATGCCAGAGCGAGCCAGACATGTTTCTGGCTGCATCCTCCACTGGGATTGCGTGTCCCAGTGCAACTTGAGCATCTGCCCAGTGCTTCCAGCATGTGGGAGGAGACATCCCAGTGCCTGATGGTGGGATTCCCAGGGCCCTGGTGGTCTCTGCCAGCTCTGTGTCTTCATTTAGGTGGAAAGGGGTGTTGAAACCCCACAGGCACCTGATGGCTTCCCTCCCAAAGCACCTTCCTGTAGCCTGTGTGACCCCATTTCCCTTCCAGCCAGAGCCCTCCCAATGCTGCAGAGGTACCTGGAGCTTGGCTCTGCCACTCACAGCATGCCTGATAATTAACCCTTTGGAGACCACACAGGCTACACTTTCCCCCAAGCACCAGCTTGACTGACAGATTTAAAAATACCCGTTTTCTGTGTCAGCAGGGCTCTGGCTGCAGCAGGGCTGCTGCCAGTGCCGGGGGGGGGCTGTGCTCATTAGAAGGCAGCCTAGCCCTCCTGCCAGCACGTGTGGCCATAGAGGGCCGAGGAGATCAGCTCTTTGGGGCTGAGCTAACGAGAGCTGTTCTCCTGCTGCGTGCGGGTGGGCTGTATGTGCAGGGCCACGCGTCCCCATGACATGTCTGCTGCGCTCCCCGGGATGCCTGGCTGGGCTGGAGCTGTTGGTGCCTTACGTGGAGCCCCAGAGCGAGGATGAGGAGCTGGCACAGGCTGGCCAGGCCGAGGTGAAGGTTGAGTGGCTGCCCATCTCCATCAAGAAGAGCCATGTAGGCTGAACCACAGATGAGCAGCATGGGCCCGTGCCAGTGCGGGGGAAAGCAGGCTCTCAGGGCCCTCCAGAAGCTGCCTTGGTACCTGGGTGAGAGAGGGAGACAGGAGACAGGCTGGTGGCTGCCTGCACACACAGAACAGTTTGGGTTGGAAGG